AAAAAATTAATTTTTTCACTGACTACTAGTAGGTATAGCCTATCATAGATTTTAGATCTGTATTAGTAGTATCCTAGATATATGCTCTGAGCGCGAACGCGGTGGCAGGAGGGCGCACATGATTCGGTTGCCAGTGAGTTTATCAGAAGAATACCTGGCTACAGTACACGTCAGTTGAGCGGTGTCACTTTGCGGCACTTGTTTCACATCTGAAATTCCTATTTTCCCTATTTTTTTAGCGTCACTTGTCACTTGACGCCCTGCACTAGTTTGAAGTGTTGTTTTTTGGGGTTAGAAATGAACGTATATATAGGACGTCTTGCTATGCACAAATGAATTTATCAGCAGAACACCAGACACCAGATGAGCCCTGTCGCTCTGCGGCACTTGTTCCTATAATAATGCTAGTCGCAGCATTATCTTGATTATGTGTAATTTAGTTTCTTCCCTATTAGCCAAAAAATGATACTATATTATTAGATTAGAATTGTGGTAAAACATCAATTATACAGCATTTTTTGTCTTGTCAATTTTTAGTGTGGGGCAGATCATGTTAAAGTATCCCAGACTGCACCAGAAGGTATGTGATATACATTTTAAGTGATTTGTCATGTAAAGTGTGCCTATGATAGGTAGAATAATTCTATACTGCTGTGAATTGAATTTTAAAGCAAGGATTTCTCATGTTTTTAGCAACCATTTTCATATTTTCTCAGCCGTTTTGATACTTACCTGTACTCCTTGCATAACACGAAATGTATATAGAAAGGCTAACATGTCATAGAACATTCACACAACATTCTTTCCACCAATATGTGCACCGATGTGCATTTAACATTAGATTGTTTATGTCAACAAACATGGCGTGTGATTTTTGCTCTTGCGAGACCGGAACCCTGTCTCTACACTAGGTTAATAATATGTATGCTGACAGGCGAGTCTAATTAAATTTGTCTGAATTTATTCATGTTTTGATTTATTTGAGTAATGATTGTTTTAAAATGTAAAAATGTTATCACTTGTAACCTGCTACATAAACATGTTTATATGCAGGCAAACAAGCACACATGAACAGAGAATTAAAATTTAAGGTATAAGCGCACATGTTTGTATTTCATTTGCTTGTCATAACTTTACACTAAATTCACCAACGCAATTCAACTGTCTTATTCAAGCATTCTTCTCAATGTAGGTGTACCAGTGGAGTTGGCTGCCCGGTGTTTGTCTTTTGATGGTGATGCAGACAGGGTTGTTTACTATTACATTGATGAAGGTATATTGTGATAACAGTATACCCAGTTAACAGTATATACCCCCTGCTTTCAAAAGCTTTCTACAGCAGTGCTGCCAGTTTGTGTGTGAGTGTGCGTGTGCGTGCGTGTGTCTGTATAATATATATATATATATATATATATATATACATATACACTATAATTATA